AATGGTAATGAAACATTCATTCATTCAACTTTGCGAGAAATATGAAACCGCTTGGGAAATAAAAAGCAGTCATCCGAACGGCATCCCAACATTTATTAAGGGCTTCAATAACAACTGAAAACAGCTATTTTCTTTGTAATCCTAATCTCTCCAAAAATACGGCTATTGTCGGAGTTTATTTAGACGTGATGGAGGTATTTTAAATTGATATCGCGATAAACTTTACACTCGTGAGTCTAGGCGATGACAACAAACCTTAAGCTAATCTGAATTTACATCCTTTCCAGCTGTTTGAAGTTGAGTATATTTTTATCACCACTAAATATAGTTGACGTCTACGTAGTTAACGTCTTATCTTTGGTAAAGCGGTAAAGTAGTTTATTTACTTTATTTGTTATTTAGTGCTTCAAAGAATATAAAAAGGGCCATTCGACTCCTTATTCCACACATCGCCTCGACTCAGGGAAGGGTCCTCCAGCAATTTGACGGTAGACTTAAACCAGTATCAAACAAGAAGTCTGAGAAAAAATGCACAGCAACGTTGACAAGGTAAAACAAGCACAATTATCTTAGGCTCCTACGTGAAGGTAACTTTAGCATAACACTACATTGACTGATTTATGAACCTAAGCCTTTCTTTTTTCGTTTCTTCGGATATGATTTGTCTCATTGCTTTCTTTCTGACTTTTATCTACAGGTTGTATTCGTTGTTTTCTTGATGGTTGTTCCCTTGTCGCACTGTAACACATTACGAAACGCATTCACGGAAGAGGATTTAACTCCCATGGTAGAAAATCTCAAAGGGGACGGCAAAGAGGAACAAACAGCCATGGCAGATTACTTCCACCAAAAGAGATCCGATCTACAGAAACACATCAATGCATTCTCATGCGAATGTAAGCAACGTATTCACGATACACTGATGCAATGTTGTCCAGAAAGCTGTACTCCTACACACTACCCAAATTGTGAAAAACTTTTTTGCACAAGTTGTTACCATTAAAGCAAGAACTGAAGCACGTGTAACCTTCGAATGAATCAAGCAGAAATAATAATTAAAGATAATGAATGAAATCTAACATTGTTTCATTAACTTGTCTTACGTTAACTGAAAAACAGCCACAGAGATAGCATAATGTACAAACGTGTAGAAGAAAGTCTCGAAGGGGTGGGATAGTTTTGACGATTTTAACGGTGGATAGTTGTCATGAATAAATTTCCTTCAGGAAATAGAATCAATATTAAGTACTATTAAGGTACTGTGTTCATTTTTTATATATATACGGATCATACGTTATATTCAGAACTAATAAGTCTTTGTCTGACAAATTAAACTAAAGCGTAACTCTATGACATTTAGCCGCTTAACATTTGAATCTTAATGAATTAAATTTAATTAAATGTAAACCTAGATTAAATAACCTATATTTTTCGAAACTCATCTCATACAGTCCTCCAAGTAAGTATTTTATGACTTAAATTGACTTGTCTTTTTTATCGTATTATAGGGCTTAGGCCTCAATTGGGAGAAAAGTTCTGTTCCTCTCTCTTGCCACTCCACTTTATTTTTTCTTTTCAAGTAACTGTGAAATGTAGATTAGTGGTTTGTATTTGTTGAACTGTGGCGAATAAATTGAAAAAAACTAATAACATAAATAGAATTAAGTAATTAAATTAAGTAAATGACATAATAAAATAAATATGACCTCTAACCGTACTTCATTGCTAGTTTCATAATTATACCTTAATTAATTCCCGATTGTATAGGCCCGAACACCTTTAGCAACTTTGCATTCCTGAGTCCTGATTCTTCTAGCCCTGAAGATAGTAAAGGAAAGTTGCTAGTCTGTTCATACAAGAACCTAATAATGATAAGAGCCGAGCAAAGCTCATCAAAACCATAATCTGGTGTTTCACCCCTCCCTGCCTCTTTTCTTCCTTCGTTTCCCCTCCTTCGAATGTATTCCTCAGAGCTGTTTAATTGAATCATTGGCATGTAAAAATTCTCGTACGCTGCGCATGCTGTGTTTGTGCCCTCAGCTTGTGGTAAACTTCTTTAGGAAGCTTTGTTTTTTTTTTGTTTGTTTGTTTTTGTTTTTTTTTTCCTGTGAATTTCATGAGGTTTGATGCATCTTTTAGATATGACTTCTATTGTGATGCGATCGGCTGAAGAATTTGATAGGTTTTCTCTCACTCCTTCCGTACTTGGGGTTTGTGTCTTACTTATAAAAAAGTAAAATTAAAGCCTTTATACAGTTCCAAGTGGCCCGTGGGGCCTGCGCTCGGCTCCGGTTTCCTTTAGCATGAAGAGGCAAGGAGTATTGCTACTCCCCCCTGGATGGGATGTTATTCCATCGCAGGGTTACCCCCAGCATATATTCTGGTACCCATTTGTACACCTGGGTGAAGAGAAGCACTGTGAAATCAAGATTGTGAAATCAAGATTGTGGCAAGAAACCAGAGAAACGACTAGTCACCTTACTGAAGGCGATAGTGCAGTTGCAGAGAAAACTGGAAAAAATAGGAAAAAGGAGGAAAAAGGACCAGAAGAAAAGGAGTTCTTAGTTCTATTCTACCAGTCTAGGAACGAGATCGAGCACTAGATCATCCTATTGTTTCTTGGGTAGGACTCCATACGTTTGAATAAAGGGGGTAGGTTTCTCAAGAAACTTTAGCGCTGCGTCGATGGGAGAGTATAGCAGGTAATTTAGTGTTAACCTCTGAGTTGAAAACGTAAATTTGCCACCGTAAAGAGTTGAAAGGCTGACGTTTCGAGCGTTAGCCCTTCGTCTGACGAAGGACGACCTTTGGCCACCTGGAAATTACGATTCGATTCAAAGTTCAGATCCCACGGAACGAATAATTGTGAATCCGACCTGACGTAAACGTAAAATACTTCTCAAAATTATGAGCCAAAGTTGAACATCGACAACCAGGAGGTACATATAAGAAGCTTGAGCGATACTTTAGAACCGAATTCGATTTTAAATAAACTATTCAGAAGAGAGGTTTGCTTGATTACTAAAGTGCGTTCGTTTTCTTCACCGGACACTGCTCCGCATCACAGATGAACGCGACTGCAAAACAACAACTTAGTACATATGTTTTCGAGACGAAGGCAAAGCAAGCTGAATGGTGTCGTCGACGAAATCAGGACGGGGAAAACGCGAATCTAGGCTTCATTTGCGCATGCCATGTTTTGCAAATTTATTTCCGATAGCCGTCCTAGCTCATTCCGTCTTCGGATCTTAAGTTCTCAATTTATAACGAATCTTGCATTGGTAAATATTCTTGTTACAATTAGGCTAAATGTGTTTGCCTTTTACTTGGTTTTTTGTATACGTTGTAATTATGGAGGTATTTTCACCAAATTTAAAGTAAAAGCGACTAGAACCATATTATCTACATTTTTGCAAAAATGACCATCATCCATAAAAACCAACATTATTGGCATAATGCGAGCACTGCTAGCATATCATGCTACTTTTGCGAACACAATCGAACAATTCCCTGAAACATGGACGGCACAGAAAAAATAGCTAGTCTGTCCTTTAAGAAGATCAAACCTCAAGGAATGAAAAGTAGACGAATGTTAGAAGAATTCCCAAGGAAATTTGTTTTTGGCTAAAACAAAAGGAAAAATCACTAAAAATCCACAGACTTCTCGTTCGCGGTGTTGCTGTACTTGTCGCAGGTCTACACGCGAGAGCTGCGTTTTTCACAGTTTCGGTTCCGTGATTATATTGCACAATTAATGTGTTATGCTAATTCGGATGAATTATTTCCGAATAAGACAGTCCTATTTGACATATTAGCATTCCAAGCTGATACAAATAAACAGAAAGTATCTCCATGCAGATTTACAACCTCCGCATGTGCATTAAACATGTATTTCATGGTTGCTGTAACACAAAACATAGGGTCACCCGTTTTTTCTTCTTCGAAATAATATTGATACTGATAACAATGAAAAGATAACACCATGATGCGCGGTAAGTATACAGACATAATGCTGCTCTGTGTTGAGAGTAAGAGAAATTTAAAGCTGAATTATTTCCGCCCTGCCACGGTTCAGAATGACATTCACATTTTAAACACTAAAAAAAAGCCAGTTAGCCCTCAAGCAAGTAGTATCATGGAGCTAAGTGTGTCTAATGGGTGTAAAGGCTCCTCCATATTTACATAAAAGTGATTACGAGCTTTATAACAGATTCAGGCGATTTCAACCGTGATCACCCACTTGTTCCTTCAGCCGAGGAATACTATCTACAATGACAGTATTTTAGCATTAAGAGTCGACCAATTGCTTAAGGTTGTAGTGACTCACAACTGCTTTTTGGGAATTTTTTCCCTTCAGTACTAGTCCTTTGGTAAATTGAAATTTAGACCAACTACGCTTGGAATCATTTCACGGAATCATCTCATTTTTCACTCAAAAATTCATTGAATAACCAAGGCCAAAATTAATCACCTATATCTTAATGATGATGACAGTAGATTGAAGCCTTTTATCCGTGAATAAAAGGGTAAAAGTTTAGTTTTGTGACCAGACAATAAACTCTGAGCCGCTTGAAAATTACATCCACGGTAAACATCTTAACTTATGTGAAGCGGTAAAATAACGTTGTTCAATATATATATATATATATATATATATATATATGTGTGTGTGTGTGTGTGTGTGTGTGTGTGTGTGTGTGTGTGTGTGCGTGTGTGTGCGTGTGTGTGTGTGTGTACTCATCTCATCTTGAAAAAGACTGCCCTTTTGTGAAAAAGCTACAGGGCGAAGCTGGTCGAATAATGTTCCCTGAAATTATTGCAGAATTACTACTGATACGAGCCATTAACATTCATGTGAAAATTGCAGATTAGATTGAGGTAAACATGTTATTTGATCGGGTCGCTACCTTTCACGAAGTGTCTTTTCAACTTCTCACCGGAAACGGATAGAAATGACAAAACAAAATAGGTGTACGTACAACACATAGCAGATGCGAGAATAGAGATGACATGTCTGTCGAAAATTAGATTTGTAACACAGTAATACAGAAATAGATAAGTCAATGATGTCTCTCTTGAAAGTTTGAATTTTGTCCTGCAGTTCCTTTCGTATTACAACATGGCCCCCACGAGAAAACTTACAAGGCAAGTATCGTCGTTTGCTTTTTCTGTTTATGATTTATTGCTTGCTTTGCTTTATTTTTTCGCTTTGTTCTTTAAGCAGTCAACCAATTTTTTCTCCCACGCTTCTTTTTCGACTGATTTCGAATAGTCTATGTAACTCCTCTCTTGCAGTTCGATGGGAAGTTTCCTTTTATCAACTTCATCAAGTTTGATGACAACTAGGCTGTCATCCCTCTTTTCCATAAGTCGATGAAGGGCGAAATCCAGTTCTGATCCACAATAATTACTATCAAAAAAGTGAGTAGAGACAATAGCAAGGGTTTTTCTACACTTGTAAACACTGTCCACCACATTGTCCCTAAAAAGGACTCCTGGTGTGAAATTTCTGTAATGTATGCAGCACTTCAAGCCATGCTTTTTTTCCAGAGTTGGGATGAGAGTGTTTACCACCCAATCCGAGTCTTGTGAGCTGAATATAACGAATGCATCGTACTCAAATTTTAAATCTGAAAAATCAAAGAAGTACGTATTGTTGATCACAGATGATGTGAGTCTGAGTATAGCAGTTTTCTAATCTTACAAGAGCGATATATCCTAATTTCATGAAGGAGATGTGTCTCCTGAATGCCATCAATAATAGATCACAGACGACGTCAAAATGTAGCTAGAACTTATTAAAATGGTATGCGAGCATAACGAGGTGCATCCGACTGTTGGATTGAATTCAGGTGAATTTTGAGGGGAAAAAACTAACCTGGCATCGATGGTGTAAGATCGGTTTTCGATCGTCGGCAATAACGCAGGGTTGCTATTACGCCTGCCAAAAAGGCAATGGCCAAAACTACTCCAATAATGATAATGATCGTATTTTTGTTACCTGAAAAAAAAATCAAATCAAACAGGAAAGTCGTATTATCATAATCTTCGCTTCGGACAACCCATTTTAATTTGATAACAGAAGGTTTTTTGTTATCACCAAAATTTTTCCAGCACCCCTATTTTCGAGAAATTCCTGTTCTGTCTACGTTGATCTCTACAAGCATAATCTCTTAATCCCTTAAATAGGTTATTCCTTCGAGGCCTTCTTCGGACATCCTTCCAGTAATTAACGGAGATATTTTGCATAAATATTTCGATGAGTTATCAAACAGTAAAGGTGATTTAGCGTCGAAAGGGTTCAATTTTTAAAATCTGCAAGAATTTTACTTAATACAGGAAAGAAAAGTTAACCCGATCGTGTTATAGGTAGTTGTCAGAAATTATCTTAGAAAGTCGTATCTTTTATGTATTGTTTGTGGAAACATGAATAAATCAAAAGGCAAAAAGTATGAAACATGAAATTTTAAAACGTAGGAAGTGGAGTTAAACACTAAAAAGATAATCATATTTTTACGTGAAAACTATCCCTTTAAAATAAAGTTTATGGCTGGTAGAACAATATTTGCAATGAATATATAAAACATATCTATTTGCCAAAATTGTAAATGGAGGCTGTATACTCAAGAAAAACAATTTGTGTCCTAATTTTAACTAATTCGCACTACTATTAGGTCTGTTGCAAAGTCTGCTGATCCCTTCAAGAAATTTAACAGTACGTTGTCATTAAGTACTTATTAAGAATTATGTGCCTCTGCAGAAAAAAATTTTCCATTTTCCAGTCAGAAAGTAGGCATGTGAAAGCTTAGATTCATTTCTACAGCTTTGATGTCTCAAAATTGAAGTATGCAATCTTTTAAAAGCAAACCTGGTGTTAATATTGTTGTTGTTGCTGGTGCTTTTGTTGTTGTTATTGCTATCGTTGATCCTAATGAGGATCAAAAATTTGTTAATAAATATTTTTTTAGAATTACAAAGTTATAGCAGGTACAACATGACCCACAACAACAATACGACTACTATTACTACCACTACTACTAATACTACTACTACTACTTCTACTACTACGACTAATAATGAAAATAACAATAATGAAAATAACAATAATAATAATAACAATAATAATAATAATTCAAGATTATTCATAAAATACAATTGATAAAATGAGTGTACGAGATTTCATAAAAATTCAAAATCACGTATAATACAAAAGCATTTAGCTTGAAAATTGCCCTTGAAAAAAAGGTTCTGGTAACACTTGGAGTTAACGTGCGTAACTCTTACATCAAAAAATGCCGTAAATCCTCTTGACCAGAAACCTCCCGCCTTGATGTCTAATCTAGCCTCAGAGCTTGTGACGGCACTTCTCAAATGTAGCCGTTCGTTGTCGAGGGTTTGAAAATCGGGCGACTTGACTTTGTGTGATACTTCTTTCATGTAAATTTTCAATGAGTAATAGAATGATTTCTCATGCAATTTGGTGTAAATAAGCGCTTTTAAGTTTTTCAAAGGCTACAAACTGCGTTCGCTAAAAGGGCTCATGCAAAATTGTTGTCTTGAAAAAATTAATTCTACTCATGCTTATTACCTATACACGCATTGATATTATAACGAAGACTCACCTTTCTTACAGTTTTTTTCATCTGAAACAAAACAATCTGAAAAAAAAAGAATGGAAAAATGCTGAAGAAAAAAACAGGCTGCTTAACAGTAAATTGCAATCTAATTGCGAAGTGAATAATCTAACCGAAAATTAGCTCAGTGAAACAGGATGTGGAATAAGTTATTAGAAAAGAAACGTTTTCTGGATCTTCTTGATGAAAGATTCATTTTTGGCTTAAAAGGCTCGAATCAACACAAATGTAAACTTCTGCTGCTTATTTCGATGCTGGCAGAGGAAAAAAAAACAAATTATTTTGGTTCCGCGTTCTGTTCTCCGCAAGCCATTTTTGAAAGGCTAAGAGACTCTAGCTCTTTCAGAAATGTTTTCCGAAGAAAAAACTTGGAAGTCCAGATGATCTTGCAGATCCTTTGAAGACAGCGCACTGTCTTAACTTGAGAAAATCATGGCACGCCGATCGATTTCATTTATTGCCTTTGGCTTGACGGCATTCGATGTTATTTGACGAAGCCGTGATTGGAATAAAGAATGATAGGCTTCGATTTCGAATGTAATATTCTTAATCATGTTGGACCATGTGAGGGTTATTCTCTACACAGCATGGCGGGCTGTCAATATCTGGAAAGCTGTCAATATCTGTTCAGAATTTCTCTTTCTTGATACTTGAGTATCTATACGATATTTAATAACCATAACCCTCTTGATAATAGTTAACACGCCTCATTAGCTTACAGGGGATCGAAAACTTGTATCCAGTCGGGAATGGCAGAAGAGTAACCTAATGAAAAAGAAAATGTAAATACAAATTGAATGTTAATGACGAAAGAGGTATCTGCTTTATCTTTCAGCAGGCACGCCTAAAGCGCAAAGGCCTTCCAGCTAAGATGTAAGATAACAAACAGCCTAGTTCAGTTCCTCTTTCCACACTTCTTGTGACGCTATCACGCGATAAAAATTTCGATCTCATGATTCAACTGTTAGTTGATATGCACGACACAAATTACTTACAAGAGCAGTCACGACCCATCCACTTTGCAATTTCAATGGTATTTTATAGCTCGTAAAATTCTGAAACAGACACAGTAAAATTATGCTAACTGGGCATGTATCTCAGTTTTTTTTCGCTTAACTAAAATCTATATCCGCCAAGTACGCTTTCAGAAATCGTTTAGCAATAGCCTAAAACCACATGAAGTGTAACCCATTGAAGTGCAGCAGAGTGCCATCATCTTAGTACTAAGGTGTACTGCAATGGGTAGTGTGCTGGGTGTGGCGTCAGTGACCGCTACAAAACGAAAGAGAAATGAAAGGTACGATCTTCCAGTAAAGGTGACACTGCTCACAGGATCCGACCTTACGAGAACCTCAGCTCATCAGAGTATGGTTTGTGAACAGGTTAATAGTTATAGGCCTGGGCTGCGGTAATGTAAATGGCCGTGCAGTAAGGGATCATTCGTAACGTAGTCTGTCACAGATATGCGTGACGGTTCTGTACATTGTTGTTCGCAACGCGCGCATTTCTTTAGGGGTATTACTAGGCAGTTTCGGAAAGGGAATTTTACATTTTTCTTTATATCCTCTGGTAAACGGTGCCTCGATTGCGTTTTTTTTTTGTTCACAAAATAACAGACATTTTTATCAGATCTCAAACTTCAACAAGCCAAGACATGTTTAATTAGATAAAATAGAATTTTAAATCATAAAATGTGATTCTGCAATTCCAGGAACTTTAGTACCTGACAAGTTGAATAATTAAAAAAAAACAAAAACAAAAACGTAGATATGTGTTGTGTGGGGGGGGGGGGGGGGGGGGGGGGGGGGACTCTGGACCTCTCGTGCCCTCCTCCCTGATCCCCCACTGAAATTGTCAAAGTTCTTTATCAAATCAGAAACATTTGCCAGCAAGTCTTAAGAACGATCTCATTGAGAAGACATAAGTGATAGTTTTAGTAAGTCTATATCTTCTTTTGTGAAAAAAAAAAGCATATGAAAGTTGTGGGAGGCAGTCTCAGTGCAATTAAGTAGTAGACTTCTTGTGAACAGACACACCACGAAGCAAAAATGAGTAAACTCGTCAATTAATGAAAAACATGCTCCGAAGGGGAAATTTTCCTCACCTTGCCAAAGTCCCTGCATTTGGTGACATTATTGTTTATGTTATAGATTACTGTATATCCAGTCCAGTTTAAGGCGTCATCTGGTAAAAAGTCAAAGAACCTTAATTCAGCTGGTTGTGCTAATTTTACATTGCAGCCTAGAAAGTGTCCTAGGCCTTGGAAAAGTTTGCTCCTTAATCCTACATTAGAGGAGGAAATTGTAAAATTAAGACCTCGTGAGACAGATTCGAATTTTCATCTTTCGAAGCCTAAAATTAGAGCAAATTTAGCATTTCTTATGGTTAATTACCTGTTTGTAACAGGTAAGTAATTTAATTAATTTTTTCGTTTTATTTACTATCACCTCTTCGCCCTGGTAAGATTAACTGACATGCTCTCAACCAATGGGAGTGCCAAAAAATATATATGTTCAATTTACGAGACTTTTGTAAGCCGACACCCTATTAAAAAGCGGACACCTGGAATAAATCATCGTGGGGTCTTCTTTTAAGAGGTTCACTGCGTGTAAAATTTGACTAGAAATTTCAACAAAGCGAAATTTTTTTTTCTGAGAATTGCATCCAAATGGTATAGCTTTTAAATTTAGGATATCTTCTCCGGAAATACAGTCAAACTTGTATTATAAGCGTTTACCCATGGGGAATGGCGTGCGGACCGCTTAATACAGGCTGACCGCAGTGATGATTAAAACTGGTGTGATCACCTTGCTTACCTTTGAAAGGTTTCCATGACACCTCCCCTTCATATCCTCCAGAACTTTTCCAATTTTTTAAAGTCAAGCTGATAGACTCGGGAGAATAAATGGTGTCATTTTTTCCCTTCGGCTTAAAGCATTTAGGCGCATCTGAAAAAAAGGAAAGGAAAAAAGGTACACAATACTGCCACGTTGTAGAATGTCAGTTACGGTTTACCAGTCTCACGCCCGATACAAACCCTCAAACTTGTTTACTGCTCTTTAATAGGCTGTTGTTGGCATTTTGGGTGCAAAATTATGTTTCCTACGCTACATCCAATCTGATCACATTGTCAACAGTCCGTGACCTGAGTTAGTATGAAGTTTGTAATCCCTATTGCCGTGAGAGGAAAGTGAGTCTCAAATGTGAATTTAGAAAATGTGTTTACCTCTTCCTTTAACCCTTTACACCCTAAAATCAGTATACATATTCTCCATACTGTTCTTTATACATTTCTTAAGGTGCTGACAAGGAGAATTTGTTTACCGATCAAAAACTTCTTTCGTTGGTGATCATTTCCTTTATTCTCATAACCTTAATATGTGATTTAGGGGTAATATTGTAGGGAGAAATTGCATGCTAATCACTGCTAAGGGTTACTAGAGAGAAACGGAATATCAAACATTTTTGCGGAACTGGCCTCCCGTACTATCAAAGCATTTTGCATCAATACCTGTTCAATTTGAACATGGTCGTAGTGAGAAATAAGCAAAATAATACAAGGACTGAGCACTCTCAAAGAGAAAACCTAACACAAAACTCCCTACGGTACCACATTAAGCGAAAACTGAGTCCATCATGTGAAGAGCCCTTGTGATTGACCAGTATTCGGCTAGAAAACCTAAATAGGCAGCTTACATTATGCTTTGAAGATTGAAATGATCATTTCATCTTACCGCTTGTGCCAAGGGAAGATGATGATAACACAGGTGCTGTAGTTTATGATGGAAACTCTTTGCCCGTGACCATTTGCTTTCATGTTTACGAACTCGGACTAAATATAGCAAAAACCTGTCTGATTTCAGGTCACTTTTATTACATATAGCAAAATAACCAGCCACATGCCAAATGCGTGGCCATATTTAAATTAGCAATCCTTTAATCTAAGCCAGAACGATATTCACCAACTAAACATTCTTTTATTACCTCGTTTTTCTCTCTTAAAGAGTCTCTTCGTTCGCTGATCAAGGGATTGTTTCTGCTTATTCAAACGTGAACGAAGGCAACCTAAAATAAAATTGCTGGAGAGAGGTTAATTAGGCGATAGCAGAATAATGCTTCATTAGGTGAAGAGTTTCTAGTCGACCTTACTCCTTCAAGAAGAGTAGCAAACGCAGTCGAAACGTCGTCAGTCACATCGGAAATGGAAACGCTACATGAACTGGTGTGTCCACAGCTGTGAATGATCACCACCTCTTTTACGGAAAAGGGGAATGTTTCACTTAATTATTACTTAAACCTAACCGATCTTTAATGAACAGACTGGTTGAAAGAATCTCTATTTGCATTTCAGATAAAATAGTACCTTTCAGAAGATTTTACTTACGTTTCCTTACAAAACTTAGGCACTCTTCATAAGAAGACTGACGACGTTCACGTAACTGCAAGAGAAAATAAGAAGGTATCAGTTGAATAACTTCCAACCAATGTAACAAAATCACGGAGTAGAAAATGGTCATGAATAGAACATGTTCCCATCTAAAATAAGGCTTCTCCAATGAGTAGATAATGAAGGCACTGTATGTATGTATATTTCATGGCTAACACCATTGCACACAGACTCATTTATTCGTTTTTTATGTACGAATAAAAAAATCAGGCTGACCAAAAAATTATCAAACCTCAGTTAGCTGTTTAGTTCAGCCTAACGTCTTGTAGTTAGAGACAATTAACAAGCCTCAAATTTAAACAAGTTTTCATTTTGAAAATTTGGTGGAAATTGTTGAGTATGGAGTTTGAAGTTTAGAAAAAGTAGAGTAAAACGCTTTCCAAGCTATTTTGTGTTTCCAAAATTATTAACGCGGAAAAGAACTAAAATGTCGAGTTACCTCACACACAAGAATTTTGTGGTAGATTATGTGTTGCGCGAATAAATGTAACCAAAAATAAACTATATTGGTGCCACGGATACCTGTTAGAACAAAATGCAGACAGCAGACTGCAGACCGGATACAAAATATAGACTGCAGACTGCAGAGTGGGTACAAAATGCAAACTGAGAATCTGAAGAGTTTTTACGTCTGGTAGATAATAACATGTCATCTTACAGCTTACCGAGCGTCACGCAATCGCTTTCCCGCGATCAACCTTCACGATTATTTGCACTATTGTGGAAAATTCCTGGCCCATTTCTCGATGAAAATCGATCGAAATATAATTTAAAGCCTTCAATATAGTCTTCTTACTTTGCGCGCGAGTTGGTTGCTGTGATGTCTGTACAGATTTTACCAACGTAATAAAAGTAGATGACGTGAATAACAGTGATGCTAAAGCAAGCTTAAAACGGCAGAAATCGCCAGAAACTACAACGGATGTACGGGGTATGAGTAAGTTTTATTGATTTTACGAGAAAAATCTTCATATTTCGAAATATTATCGTTGTAAATCGACCATATTTCGTTCCCTATATTATTCCTTATAACATTTTAAATTTTCAACGGTTCCTCTCGTAACTTAACACCTAGTCATTCAACGCGTGACGCGTTCATGAATTAATCGTTGGCTTTTTCTCGAGACGTGAGCTTGGGCCGCCTGTGACAAGACAATTGCGTAAACAATACTTAATATAATAACATTATACACAAAAAACACGGGATTTTAGATCATGTATTTATTAAAAA